GTGTGTGTGTGTAAATTGGTGATGTCATGTGCATCCATTATGAAGGAATCTATAACCAACTAGTAGATATGCCCTTATTTTGCACATTACACCTGACAGGCTGTACCAGATTGGTCATCAGTGGGAATAAGCATCACAAGAACAGTGGACAGGGTTCATAACATTCAATGATGAGACTCCATCACTATCCCTGGGTTCAAAGGGTAAGAGGAGGACATTACTGCATGTAGTGTATGCTTTAGACACAGGAAAAGATAACAACAGAAAGATGGAGTTGGGACCACTGACAGAACAGTAGTTGAGCTGAAGGACACAGGAGTGGCCATTTATCCATCTTACTCTTCTGTTGCTCTCTGAATCCTGAAGGCATCTTCCTTTAGGGGAGAGGGATCCCAAGTGATATTGTTAGTGTGGAGCAGCCCATGGAGCAGACCAGTGGCTCAAGGGGACATAATCCAGACCACACAGATGACCTCTTTACAAACTTTAACAGAGAGAAGGGTGGAGATGTCCATCTGGAAGCCATGAGTATTTTGGCAGTCATATATCTCTGGCATGCACATGTTCTGTTTGTTTATTTACTTCTTCAACTTGATTCAAGATAGGCTCAACTAGAAGAGGGAATCTCAGTTGAAAACATGCTTCCATAAGATTGAATTGTAGGCAAGACTGGGTGGCATTTTCTTGACCAGTGATTGATGTGGGAAAGTCTAGCTCACTATGGGCAGTGCCATCTCAGGGGTGGTGGTCCCGAGTGGTATAAGAAAGCAGGCAGGGAAATTCATAAAGAACAAGCCAGTAAGCAGCACTCCTTCATAGCACTTCCTGCCTTAAGTCCCCACTTAGTGATACAGGGTCGCCTAATAGTTGTAAGCTGAACTACAACTTTCCTCCCCAAGTTGCTTCTGGTCATGGTTTTATCATAGCTACAGAAGCCCTGTTGTTTAAAAGCAAAAAATCCTATCTGCTTGATTTTACCAATGAAGACCCAGGAGACAGATGCTGAGGTGAAAACCTGCTAGCTCAGAGAGACAGAGAAAGCACCCAACTGACCTTCCTACTCCACTGATGTCCTAGAAGAAAAAAAGTTTTTCTCCTTCTCCACACTGTCTTAAATACCTTTCCAACTCAATATTCCTATTATCTGTAAAATTTACTTACATTCACTCCCTGTCAGCTGGTTGCTTGCTCTGCCTCTTGACCTAGGGTTGGCTTTATTTAGCTCTAGGACTAAAGGTGTGTGCTAGGGCTGAGCCACACCACAAGTACTTGTTTACAGTGAACAGAAAGCTCTTGGGTTAAAGGTATGTGCTAGGGCTGAGACATCCCAGTTCATAATCTTGTAGTTCACAATGTGATGAAATATCCTACAAGAATGCCCTATTTAGTGTCCATTTATATTTGCCTGATTGTCTACATGCGCACCACATGTTCTTTGAAGGCTAGAAGAGGGTGTTGGATCCCTGGAATTGGAGTTCCAAGCATTCGTGACCTTCCAGTGAAGGTGCTGGGAGTCATATTCAGGTTCTCTGCAAGAGAAGGAAGCAGGAAGCATTCTTATTCTCTGAGCCATCTTTCTATCCCAAGTGCAAATATTTGTTAAGCTCTGACTTTGTGACAGGAAGTACAATGCATTTCATTCACCCTTATCTCATTCCTAGCAATAGAGGTCAAGTACTGTTACTTCAGTGCACTCAATAGGTAACTAAGGTAGGTGAGGTGGAACTATTTATTTAAGGTCAGACTGCTATTGCATGCCAGATTCAGAAATCTAGAATCAGCATTCCCTATCTCAGGGCTGCTGACAGAATCCTGCCACCACACAGCTTCTCTGTGTGGGAGAATCAGATGCCCAAACAGTATGCATAGGTCACATGGTAGTTTTTAAAAAGCCTCTTTTTAACTTTCTTCAGTTCCTTTGAACAAAAACAATTTTGACAAGAATTCATCAGAGAAGTTATTCCACATTTCGACATCCCATTTTGGATATTGCTTTTGATTAAGACTGTTTGCAGACTAGAATATTAGTAACCCACATACTCTCTCTGCCTCAAAAAGAGTAGATTCACTTTTATCTTGGGAACAAAGCTCAATAGAAACACTTTTTAAACTTTTCTTAGTTCATGAAACATTTATCTTCAAGTCAGGTTTTGTTATAGTGGCACAAATGTGGTCAGTCAGCATTTCCATTATAACTGGAACTTCCAGGGCTATTCAAGAAAGCCTCGGAGACTCACCTTTGAATTAAAACTTGGCACTCAGGATTTGAATCCAGAAAATACATTTTCCCTACCAATTAATCAAATAATTTAAAGATTCTCAAGTTGGAAGCAGACAGAATGCAAAACTGTATCTGAAAAAAAGTTTGAAGAAAATTCTTCCAACATAAAACTTTGTAAGAATGTTTAACATTCATTGTACAAGTGTAATATTATATTACCCTATTGTCATTCTCAAAGAAAATGGAGTTGAAAAGTCTATAAATAAACATAGTAGTGATTATAACATCTTATACTTGGCCTGTTTGGCTTTGTGAGTAATTTATTTCTACTTTGGGAATTGGGATGATTTGTGTTCCTTGGCATAATTGGTTTAAAGGGCAACAGCATGAAGAAACTGGATCAGAATAACAAAGGGTGGGAAGCAGACCCTCAGAGACTGTGAACTCACTCCTGTGTGCTCTTTTATGAACTTCCAATCTATGTGGGGTAAAATTCTGAGTCCTGTGAACATGGGTTAGTAGCATGCATTGATTCTGTAAAGAGACATTGAAAGTTTAAATTCCTGAGTGCAATGGTAGCCACAAGTCCTAACTGCAGCCTCATGACAAAGGGCTTCCAACATTGCCTACTTTAGTAAAGTACAAGAATTGCTCAATAACATGAAGGAACACCTAAGAATCTGCATTTAATATCTTTTATTTTCCTTTTTTTTCTTCCCCTTTCCCTTCTCCTTCTTGCTTAAGCCCTGCTTGCTCCACCCCCCCCCACCCCACTCCGGTCCTCCGTGCTCCTGCCCAAAGTATACTGTAGCTGTCTTCAGACACCCATATGAGAGCATCAGATCTCATTACAGATGGTTGTTAGCCACCACATGGTTGCTGGGATTTGAATTCATGACCTACTGAAGGGCAGTCAGTGATCTTAACCACTGAGCCATCTCACCAGCCCTGCCTTTAATATTTTATTCTGTAGTCTTTCTCTCTCTTCAGTCTTTTTAAGACTTGAAAGTAGTGAACCGCCGGGCGGTGGTGGCGCACGCCTTTAATCCCAGCACTCGGGAGGCAGAGGCAGGCGGATTTCTGAGTTCGAGGCCAGCCTGGTCTACAGAGTGAGTTCCAGGACAGCCCGGGCTATACAGAGAAACCCTGTCTCGAAAAACCAAAAAAAAAAAAAAAAAAAAAAAAAAGAAAGTAGTGAACCTGTACCCCTGATCAGTCCCCAGCCAGCCATGCTGACCTTTTTTGGCCTTCTAGAAACATGGGTGCACTCTCCACACCTTGGAACTTCAGCTCTGAGTTTTCACTCTTGGAGGAACACTAACTACAGCAGATGTCTACTCTGACTCCCTATGAACTCCAGGTTTCATGCAGATTTTACTGTTTGTTAAGGCCAAAAGGTCTGTTTAATCTGTTTAATCACATTGTCAATAGCTTCTTATAGCGATAAGGAGAATTTTCCTTGTGCCTTCTGAAAGACTGCTAAACTGAACCAATACAGACACTTTAACATGAGAAAAAAATACAAAATTATTAACCTGTCAATTTCTGATGGAAGATAAATACCTTTATTGTAGGAAAGAAGGAGTAGGTGCTAGGGCAATCTTAGAAGACTAGCAATGGCTTTGGGAGAAGTTGATTGAGCCCAAAGAATAGACAAGAGTTGACAAATGATATCAGAGGCCGGAGAACAGAGCATGTAAGAAGAGCTTCCTTGATATGATGTCATTGTCATTCCCCTTCTTGTCTATCATTCCAGCTTAATCTTTCCTAGACAATGAGACCATGGGGAAGATCTAAGAATTATGGCAATATTTTGGGGGATCAGTTCTTCAACAGATACCAGAGCTTCAGTGTAGGACCCTCCTGAACATCGCTGTCATTTTCTGAGCCCCAATATGTATCAGCCAAACTAACGCAATCTGCAAACACACTCTCTGCCTTTTAAGCAAAATAACTGTCTCCTTTCACTTACAGTACAGGAACACGACAGCATGCTTCATTTTGTTACAAAGGTAGTAGGCACATAGATTTAAGTCAAACAATGTTGGTTATTCAGAAACTGTTTGTTGAATAAATTATTCAATGAGATCTGAATTTCAAAATTCATAACAAGAATCTCCCAAATAATAATCTGGTTGTAATCTTCCCTGTTTCTAAAGATGCTCTTTTCCAAATGTAGTCAAGATTCTTCTTTTAACATAACTTTTAAAATGAAAGTCCCCATATGTAGCTTCCTCACGTCTGTGTGCTGTGGGTCCATCTTCGCTGAAAACATTTAAACTGAAGCTTGAAAGTTTTCATATTTACTTTTAGTTACATTGTGGAAGAGGTAAGGGAAATGGAGAGTCATGTCTGCCATGAATATACATAAATGCTTATTGTGTAAAACATCATTACACATGTTCTACAGCATTTAATATATGAAATACAATATAAATTTTGATCTTTAAAAATGTGAAACTCCATTCTGACCTTATAATTTTTTAAAAAATGTAAGAGTTACACCCCCAGCCTCAGCAATGATGGTGATGTCATTTGTTAAATAATTCACCATGGGAGCCCCAGGTAGAGTTCCCTGCCAGCTCTGTGGCTCAAATACAAAGAGTAGAATTTTAGCAAAAAGAGCCATATTGTGAACTATTCCATAAGCCCCGCCTCAATCATTCTGAATGATACTTGATGCACATCTATTATTCTATTTTTTATCAAGAGAAGGAATTTTTGTAGATGAACTAAACATGACTTAAATAAATTCATCTCTGCTTTCTTTATCTTCTAGGGTAAATGTGAGCAGTCTCTGTATGGTCACATGCATTCTGTCAATGATGCTACCTTCACACCTAGGGTGAGTTCAGTTCTTTCAGTGAATCCATATGGTTCTTCATGCGTCAAAATTAATTTTAAGGAAAGTAATATCCAAGGTAAAATGAATACTTCATAACCAGAGGACAACAAATGAAAAATTAACTGTAAAGCATAGAGAAATGTATTGAAATAGAAGATGGATACAGAACTTTAAATCTTACAAATTCACACACACACACACACACACACACACGCTAGGCAGTAGCATTAGAAATGAATATGGCTGTAGTAAACACCTTTCTCAGAGCCTCATGTCCAGCGTAATCTTCAGAATATGAATGAGTAGATGCTGCCATAACTCTGCAGTTATGGGGACTGAACTTGGTCGGGGTCTTGTCTGCATCAGACAAACAGCCTAGATCACCTTGGTTGTTTTCATCAAAGTGCTGCTCTGTAGCTCAAGATGTCTTTGAACTAATATTGAAGCTCAAACTGATCTTAAACCTGGTAGAGTTCCATATATATATATTTTTTTCTTTTGCCTCAGTAAGTGCCACCCTGACGAATGGTTCAACTTTAAATGCAAAATCTTTAATGAAAGTAAAAGTGACAAAAGTGAAATGTAGAAAAATAAAAAACAGTGTGGGAAAAACAGATTTTCTTCAGTTTACTACATATAAGTCTGTAAGAAGAACATTTTATTCATAGCTAGATGTATTCAGCTAGAAGAGTGGCTAAACATTGCTTTGAGTTGCTAAGCCAATTGACAATGTCTTTAAAGGAGCTCAGATAATCATCATAGGAGGATGTAAAGGTTTGTACCTTCTCAGATGAAAACAGTTTGACTAGACAGATGACCTCTAAAGTCCCTCAAACTCCATGATTTAATTACATCTAACATCTTAATTCATCTCTAAGCTCCCAGTAGAATGAAAAAACCCTAATTCTATATTCCTCTTCTTTTCCAATTAGCCAAAAAGAAAATCTGATAGATTGCTCACTTCGAACCTCAAAATGACAGCATAGTCAAAATGCTGTTACTACCCTGCTGATATTATCCTTTAAGAAAGAAGAAAAGAACATTCTCTAAAAATTGTATCTTCTGAGAGAATGTTGAGTGCTCCAGCTGTAACTGTGTAGCTATGCCTGTCACTCCTAAAAGTTTTAAGGATGCTTGCCACCACAATTAGATTGTAACAGATTCGTCTCTGTATGGAACCATCCATTTAATTGACTGTAGTGAGCCAATTAGTTGAAAGATATTATATTATGGATTGGTCCTACTTACTAAGTAAAATTTTATTTCTAACAGAATAGTGAGATAGTTAAGCACCATGGGCCACATGATATAGGATATTTATGCTAAGACTTTATTAAGCCTTCACATGCTCTAGGAAAATTAAATAGAAGTTGAAATGAAGTAATTTTATATTTTGTAATTCAGTCATTTTATTTTCGTGAGCAATATCGTGGTGAAAAAAGACCCACCATTCAAGATTATGAATGGTAAATGGAATAAATATGGAAATACACAAATTAGATTTGCTAAACTGACCACCCCAGCTGATACATATTAATTGTATGCATTTCAAATGGAAGAGGATAAGAAATGCAGGTGTCCAAAGTCAGAATGAGTGACTGTTTTTAGGGTACACACACTGCTCATAGGAGACAGAGGCACTGTTTTATCACTGTTTCAAACCAGCATCTCAAAGACTGTCCAGAAACTTCCATTAATTGAGATTTTCTAGAAGAATTTATTAAGTACTAAATAATGGTGTTTTTAACCAAACATTTAGTGGAGCTTGGGGAGCTGTGGAAGAGGGTGAGGGAAATATTCAAGGATCTAGAGAGGTCAAGGACACCACAGGAAAACCTACAGAATCAACCAACCCCAGACTCATAGGTGCTCATAGACTCAACTGCCAACCTGAGAGCATGAATGGATGGATGGATCTAGACCCTCTGTACATGTGTAACAGTTGTACAGCTGGTTCTTCATGTGGGACTCTTAAACCAGTAGCAGAGGCCTTCTCTAACTATGTTGCCTGCCCTTGGATCCCTTTCTCTTAATTGGCTGCCTTGTCTAGCCTAAACTTACTACAACTTGATATGCCAAGGCTCCATGGGAGACTTCCCATTTACTGAGAAGAAGGGGAGGAGAGAGTGAAGAGAAAGAGGAGGTGAGGGGAGGGCTAGGGGACTGCGAGGAGAGAGGAGAAGAGAAGCTTCAATTGGGATTTAAAGTTGGAGAGACAGAGAGAGAGAGAGAGAGAGAGAGAGAGAGAGACAGAGACACAGAGACACAGAGACAAAGACAGAGACAGAGAGAGAGACAGAGAGAGAGAGAGGTGCTGTTTTGCTATGATGGCTAAAATTCTCGAGTGAAATTTTTGTCACCTGTGTTAACTGTTTTGCAAATGAATCCTCTCTAACACACCTGTTGAGGAGTATCAGGCTGTTGGGTTATACCAAGTACAGAGCACAGAGCTATAGAGACAGTGTTAACACGTAGACAAGCATAGATCAAAACAGTAGTAGCAACCATGTTATACACTGCATAGACATATAACAGATTTTAATTACATATTAGCCTTGCTAATTGCTTGATGCCTCTAAAGAAGACATTGACATTACAGTCATAGCTAAAATTGCATTTCATTGTATACACAGGCACAGATTTAGGGAAATTCTACAGTTTGGTATCAATAAGCAGAAATCAAAGTCTAGCAATTGGGGCCAACAGTCTTGGAGACATTTACAAAAAGAATTAATGCATATGGCCCTGAAAATTATTCAAATCAAATTTTATGTCATTGTTTATGATAATTCTAATGCCTTCACTAGTGACTGATTTCTCCTGTAGAAGTAGGTATTTATTTAAAATTTATCTCCTTTTAAAGTATTCTGTAATAAAATATTTTAAAGAAACATGAAAGTGCTTTGTTTTTCTTACAAAATCCTTTTCATATATTCCATTGAAATGTAATATTTTATTAAGTAATATAATTTATGGTTTTTAACTTGACACATAGTACATAAAGTGATATACATTTGTAGATGATTCTTTTTTAAAATTATTCTTCTTGAATATATTATATCCCTGCCAGAGTTTCCTCTCCCTCCCCTCCCCCAGCCTCTTCCCCAACCTCCTATCTCCCCTAGATCCACCTCCCTATCTTTCCTTAGAAAATAGCAGGCCTCTCAGCGAGATAGCCAAGCACATACCATCACGTCAAGGCAGAGCAAGGCAATCTAGTAGAAGGAAAAGGGTCCCACAAGTGGGCAAATGAGTCAAAGACAGTCTCCCTCTTCCACTGCTAGGATTCCCAGAAGATCACGAAGCTATAACATATATGTAGACAACCTGATCTCTGTGAATTCCCATGAATTCTAATCAGTTGATTCTATATAGTCCTTGTCATCATGGTGTGTCCCTGACTCCTCTCCTTCCTCCAATTCTTTCCATGCCCCTGCAGCAGGACTCCCCGAGCACCACCTTATATTTGACTGTGTTACTTTCATCTGCTTACATCAGTTGCCAGATTAAGTCTCTCTGGTCTCTTTGCTTCTGCAAGGCTCTGGTCCCAGAACACTCTTCAGGCAGGACAAATTGCAGGTCAAAGATTGTGTGGCTGAGTTGGGTTCTTAATCCCACTACTTGACACCTAGTCTGGTTATAGAAGATGGTTAGTTCAGGCTCTAGGCCACCCATTACTAGGAGTATTTGCTACTCTTGCAATTCTGTGAAGTTTCCATTGTATTGGATTTTCACCTCACTCTTGAAATACCTTGAAGTTCTAGTTGTTTCACCCAGTATTTTCTCCTCTCCTCCCCTAAGTGATCTCTCTCATTCCCAGCCCCTTCAATGCCCAGTCCACCAGCAAAATCTATTCTATTTTTCCTTCCCTGGGAGGTCCTTATTTCCTTCCCTACACTTAAGCCCTCCTTGTTACTTAGCCTCTCTGGGTCTATGAACTGCATTATGAGTATCCTTGGTACTTGATGGTACTTGAGTACTATACTGCTAATATCCACTTATATGTGAGTATATACCATGTTTGTCTTTCTGGGTCTGGGTTAACTCACCCAGGATGATGTTTTCTAGTTTCATCCATGTGCTTGCAAACTTCAAGATGTCATTTTCTTTAACAGCTGAGTAATACTTCATTGTGTAACTGTACCACATTTTCTTTTTCCCTTCTTTGGTTGAGGAACATCTAGGTCGTTTCTTGTTTCTGGCTATTATGAATAATGCTGCTGTAGACATAGTTGAGCAAATGTCCATGTTCCTTGTGGTAGCATGAAGCATCCTTTAGGAGTGGTCTTAAAGTAGATCCATTTCCAATTTTCTGAGAAAATGCCCATATTGATTGCCAGTGTGTCTATACAAGTTTGCACTTCCACCAGCAGTGGAGGAATGTTCCCTTTGTAGACAACTTCTCCAGCAGTAATGATCCCTGTGATTTTTATTTTAACCATTTTTATAGGTGTAAGATTGAATCTCAAAGTCATTTTGATTTGTATTTCCCTAATGGCTAAGGGTGTTGAACATTTCTTTATGTGTTTCTCAGCCATTTAGATTCATCTGTTGAGAATTCTGTTTAGATAAGTATCCCACTTTTTAATTGGATTATTTAGTTTTTTGATGTCTAGTCTCTTGAATTCTTTATATATTTTTGATATTAATCTTGTTTTCTCTTTTTATATCTATTAAATATAATACTTGAAGTTCTAGCTAGAGCAACAAGAAGACTCAAGACTATAAAGGGGATATAAATTGGAAAGGGAGAAGTCAAAGTATCACTATTTGTAGGTGATATGACAGTAAGCATAAGAGAACCCAAAAACTCTACAAAGGAACTCCTATAGCTGATGAACACCATCAGCAAAGGAGCTGGATGTAAAATTAACTCAAAATAATCAGTAGCCCTCTTACATACAAATGACAAATGGGATGTCATTTTTATTATTTATTTATTTTTTTTTATAATTTATTTTTTTCTCAAATCGTAATTCATTCACACAGGGGTTATAAAC